TCCTTCTCCTCCGCTTCTCCTTTTGGCTCAGAGATGCAGACACGTCAGACCAATGCTTCCAGCATTCCCGATCCTGTCCCAGCGTAAGAGCCTAGAGCAGAGACTTACGATACACTTGCCCCAGACCAATCTTCATCGTCTCGCGAGTTTTACGCCGGTCCGTCTGCAAGTCGTACTTGCTTCGCCTTCCTTTCTAGAGGCATTTGCAACACATGTTCAAACCATCGCAGCTGTTACTCGCTATTCCAATTGGCCGGTCGATCTCTTCCTCAAATTTTCTATCACTAGTAAATATAGTTCCGAGGTACTTGAACTTCTCGATTTGCTCCACTGCCTCTCCCTTAATCTGAAGAGAGCAACGGGCAGGAGAACGAGAAAGCACTAGGCTTTTCGTTTTAGATGCGTTCACACGCATACCGGCCACGTCGCACTCGGCTGCGAACCTTTCTAAGGAGCACTGGACATCAGTTTCAGAAGATGCTAATAAAACACTCGGCAAACGTTTCTAGGGAGCACTGAAGATCAGTTTCAAAAGATGCTAATAAAACGAGGTCGTCTGCAAACAGCAACCTTCTGGTCTTCACATCTCCTACACCGATATACTCATCGCCTTGGCAGCTACTGACTATTCTATCCATGTGCAACATAAAGAAAACAGGACCAGAACGCAACCGTGACAGAGACCAGTTCCAACTCTGAAAAATCGCGACTTAACACAATTTAATCTGACGTAGCAGATGTCATCAGCATATAGCGATTGGATTTCTCGTAGCAACTAACCATCGCTCCCAGATACTCGCAGGAACGCCCACAGATTGTTGCGACGGATCTGAGCATAGGCTTTCTGTAGATCAACAATGCCCACAAAAATCAGACGCCCAAATTCCCTCGATTTTCCAAAAATCTTGCATAGGGTGAATATCTGGTCAGGTGAGATTCCCCCGACCCGGAAACCACATTGCTCATAGTTTATCTTGGAGTCGGTTATTTCATGGCACCTCTTTTCTAGCACCTTTACGTAGACTTCCTTCTGGAGGATCAACAAAGCAGCGTGCGCCCAGATAACTGGAGCACTCCCTGTAGTCCACAACTCCGATTATCAAGTCAGATTACCCAAACCACTGCACAAACACGTGTAAGGCTGCATATGCCTTGTTCGACTAATGCTTTGAGCATTTTAAGGCAGATTTCATCAACTTCAGCAGACTTTCCATTTTTCAAGCTTTTCACAGCTTGTATGATTTCATATACAGAAATAGTAAAATTCGTTCCTTGTTGTTCAACAGACCACTTTTCCCGCGGATACTCGGGGTTAGGAGTGATTCTGCATCGCCACAGAATGTCCCCATCGTCGGTAAGAGGGTTACAGACTTGTCCTTAAGGAATTTTACAC